TATGCTAATTTATATTATGCCATTATATATTAAAAAGTATAACAAGGTTATTCTACTATAAAAGTTCGTTCCTACTATTATACCTATAATAAAAATTATATATTAACAGCTCAATTATGCTAATTTATATTATACTATTATATATTAAAAAGTATAACAAAGTTATTCTACTATAAAAGTTCGTTCCTACTATTATTATACCTATAATAAAAATTATATATTAACAGCTCAATTATGCTAATTATATATTAAAAAGTACAAAATGACAATTTTTCAAATTTTTCTCACCCATAATTATGCTATGATACAGATACGTTCTTTTCTGTTCGTTTCACGCAGCGAAAGGTTACGTCTGGCTGCTTTATATTGAATCGAAAGAGGAAGAAGGAAAAGGCAGAAATGTCCAGATGCGGTCGTATCGAAAGTAGCCGCATCAATAACGCCTATTCCATTTCCTAGCGTGACTGGAGATTTCGTATGCGACTGGCACCCTTTCGGGGCGAGTGTTTGCCTGTGGCTTAACGTCGGAGAAGGAGGTTAAAGAAGAGAGACGAAATTATTGCCTGGTGGGTAGTAAAATGCGGTGTAATGATGCCCCGCCGCGGGCATACTTAGCTAATTAAATCGTATAGGATACCTACTACTCGTATCGAGATTGGGTTACATCGGGGCATGCGAGTCGAGAGAAATCCTTCGAGGATTACACACATCTGAATAAATGTACGCGTTAGCCAAGTTACCCATTAAAGAGTGTTCTTGCTTATTATAAGAGCGTCATACTTACTAGTATGTCTACGATATATCTCGCGACGAAATCTTCGAAATTACAAAATGTAAATAAACTACGATGTTGATACATTTATGGGAAATTTAAGTTAATCAATGTACGAGAATTTTGATTGCTGCGTCGGAATGCTAGTTACCACTCGGCCGGAATGTTTGCTCGGATCAAATGAAACGAAGCCTGCAGTTATTACGAGGGTTCGTGGATAGACATACCAAGATAAATGGCGCGCCGAGAGGGACAGCTAAATTCGATACGGAACGAGGAAATTCTATAACGCGTCGCCCACAGTGATACGCGTACGAATCCACGGACTTGCCACGCTGCACGTCGAGGACATTAAGTCCCTGAATCGACACGGTAAACAGACGATCCGCGTTGTGGGCCAGGCGATGCCTAATCGAATTCACGGCTCGAATACATGGTCGGACATCATTGCCGATTTCTCGTGGTAATTCGATCGACTCGATACCTCCCTATCAGTATTCTCACATTACCCCATGGGAAAACGAAAACTCGCTACCATTTGCCCATTGTCCATTAACATTTGAAAACAATACTATTTTAGTATGCAGTCGTAATGCGTTTGCTCGTGTTAAATACTACAATTATCCCCGTGGCTTTAATTAATTTTAAACTTTAAGCTCAACAACTTAAACACCTTAAATAATAAACATTCTTTACGAGGTTAGGTCACATAGGTATGACAATAAATATTAATTCAACCTAGAATCTTGAATACTGACAATGCGGGCACGACATTGGTATTCACGGCCGAATCACGAGTTTAAGGTTTTGTCGCATTGCCAAACCCCTATTCTATTCACGGACACGCGTGATAACGATTATGGCGTGACCTTGATTATCTCCTTTTCGCAAGGTACTTTAAAATGTTTCGACAGATTTTTAATACTACTAACTGATACATCGGATTGATCTTTTCTAATAAAAGTTTTTCTATTGGAAAAACATTGAAATATCGATAACTTTTTGATATAAGTTGGTGCAATAACTCACATAAAAAATTCTGGAACAAACGAAGCAAATTAGTACTTTTCAAACGCGTCCTACGCCAATGCGGCTTTGTTTCATCTGTAAATTGTACATCGTATTTCTATAAAATCCAGAGCGAAAATCAATATTTTAATTTATATAAGGGTAATCTTTTACCTGGTATTAACAGTTACATGACGTTACTCTACTGTTCGAGAGATTTGCACTACTTTCATATTGCAAACTTCAAAGCATAATTCTAACCTGCAATATTGATTTTCATTAAATACAATTAAACGTTGCAGTTTCGAAATGCAATAAGAACTTAATTCCCAAAATATTACTAGCTTCAATATACAAAGTATAAAGTACAAAGAAACAATCTAAATTCACATTCTTTTGTGCATCATACGTACCAAACAATTACAACAAAAAGCAATCGCAAAGAACGGCAACAACCGCGAAGCATAGACTATAGAAGCTGCACGTGGTACCAAAACTGCGCTTGCGCATACCAGCGCTCCCTGACTTCACTTCGCTACAAGTAATGTAATGGCGCGGCGTATGCGCACGCGCGCGTGGGGGTCAAAATCTTTAAAATTGGCCGCGTGGTGGGGCAGATCGTGCGAATCCCAGAACAGAACGAATCCACGAACCGTTTCTGTAGGACGTGACAAGCGAACCGGCAAAGAGGGGAAAGACAGCAGTGGGGAATAAAAAGCGGCACGCTGTAGAGCAGAAGTGTGGAAGTGGGGCACGTGCCAACTTGCACACCTCGAAGCGCCGCGTGGTGGGGGCACGAGACCGGGGAGTAGGGGAAATGTGCATCTTAGAGCGCGGCGAACAGAATTTGAGGTAGTCTGCGAGCAAGCGAGCAAGTATGCGCTTGCGTGGCCCTCGGAGAGTTTTCTTCTCTTTTTGATTTCCATCTTTTTTTTCTCCCCTTGCCTGTTTTTATTCCTATTTTTCTTTCCTCTCCGTGTCTTTTGCCTACACCTTCTTTCTTCAAAACCGAGATCCAATCTCCGAGGGCCTACAACCGTCTATCCTGCCTCCTCCCTACCGATTCGACACGTTCAATTGAAATCACCGAGAGCAATCGTCCAGCCGAATTTCCAACTGATAATGCCGAACTGTCCAGATTGGATTGGAAACACGTACGGACCGAGATTCTCAAGTGACACCGAGACGAAATTCATCGAACCAATGAAATGTCCAACGAGTAACCTAATAACTGTAAGTACAACACAGAAAACCCATATACATATATTCAAAGAAGTTCGAAGTGTTCATTTGTAAATGAAACAAAAGATCATAGAAGAAATGTTTTTGCTAGTCACACACAATCTATCGCAATTCCATCACAAGGATCTAAAGTTGTATGTCGACTTAATCACCGATAAAATAAAGTTGGAATATTGTTTTTGACGGATTGTTGACGAATGTCGAAATCGGGAAAGGGAAAGGATTTGTGTAAATATACTTGTACATACTGAAAGAATATTAAACCTGTACAGAGAAAGAGAGAGACAGAAAGAGATGTAGAGTGCTGATGTTAAAAGTACAACGCTACTCAAGTCATATGCTCGGTGAATGAGAATTTCCTTCGAAGTTGACCAGTAGTCGGCACTGCAGATCGCACGCTATGATAACGAACAAAACAATCGCACAATATTTCATGACAAGTTTGGAATTCAATTATTTAAACAAAAGACGAAGATACATTTTGGAAACGCTGCTAAACACCAAGAGACCTATAACTGAAGCATGCAATAATATGGAGAAATTTGAAGAAGACCTGTCACCGCTTATACTGCTTTTTTTAATGGAACAAAGACTGCTGAAAAAACCATATTACGATTTTCACTTCATTGGTATGATAACTAATTTATTATTTGATCAAATAATGTGAAACTTTGAGAACATGTCGACTCTGCGATTAATGATTATTGGACATTAATGTAAATATATTTCCTTATATATGAGTGTATACATTTAGTGATAATTTAATTAGTCGTAAATTCATATATTATTTTAGAGCGTTAGAATTCGTAATTCGTAGTCAAATAATGTAAGGGATTGATAAAATTTTCGAAGATTTCCAAACACCGAGCTATTTATTAATTTAAGGATGATAATTTAATAATTTCGTATTTCGAGTTCCATTTTCCTTTCTTTTACTTCATTTATATCGTACAAGGAATGGAAAATATTTAGAGATTAATCTAAGAAGAGACAATACAACGATCTAGTCAACAAGTGATAAGAATTTAACATTCACTGCGAGAATCAAAAAACTCTAGAATCTAGTCAAGAAAAATGTAATTGCAATCTAGTCAAAAAATCGAGTCACTAAAAGGCTTAATCTAGTCATAAAGTACTACGTTCTAGTCATTATTTTTTAGTCATTCACATTAGTGCCACGGATCTCGAAAATTTCGAGATAAATTCTCTCAAATTTTCTCGTGGATTATTAGAAATTAATATTTAATTTAGTTTCACGTAACATCAACGAGGCTGTGTGCATACTTTCTCGTGTATCCTTTCTTTATGTTTCTAGTCAACTTCTAGTCGTTCTCTTCATTTAATACGTAAGTATCGTAAGTATCAATATATATTTCTCAAAGAATATGCAGGCCACAAGTAAATGCAATTTTTAAATTTTTATTTCAAAGTATTCTATAGTCGCGTGACATATTGCTTATTTAAACATTATGAACATTTCGCAAATAGATAATCCGTGGATATGATGCCATACGAAAGTTAAGTCGTGAAGATATGTCATACTCACCTCTTATAATCATAAAAAAATGTCATTAAAAAAATGGTTAAGAATATGCAGTGTATATTGTCTACTCGTATTAGTGTAATTTATTATTAACTAAGTTAGTATTCTATTTATTTCAGGGAATGTGCCAGTAATCAATCTCATTGTATTATCGCACAGATTTATGGTGAAAAATTGCTTAATCCAAAAACATAAAATTCCAATAGTTGTATAAAATAAATAAAATTTTTTAAATAATTTATTCCAAAATTAATTATATGAACGATTATCGATAAAAGTAGAAAAATCTTACCTACATATGATATAATAACATCGATTTTTTGCCAAAATCTTGCGATTCAGTAAGTAAAATTTAAACGTTTAAATTTCTTAAAATGTCCTTCAAGGTAGCTAATTATCTTTTACGATTAAATTATTATATGTATATATTCTTTAATAATTTTAAAACGAAAAGATTATTAAATAAAAATTTAACAAATCTATAGTATAAAAAATATAGTTTTAGACAAAAAGTATTACAGGGCTGTGTTTAATAATTAAGAATAATTTTATATTAATTAATTGGCTCTACTTCCGAAATTGTCTATACTCCGATTTTGCTAAAATTTGAAAATAATTTCATTTTGCATAAGAACAACGTTTACAAGATTGGATTCAAAATTTTGTAAAAAAACAATTTCAACAATTTCAACAAACTTTTAAATCACTGAAAATCTTTCTCGTAAATATTATTTTTATCTTAAACAAACCTATTTTCCAAATTTTAGTTAGATAAATACGAAATTTATCTAAAATTTTACATATTTTTTGAGTCTTCAAGAATCCTTTTCGTAAACATTATTTGCAAAATTATTGCAAATTATATGCATAATGAACGTATTTTCTTAGAATAAATTAGACATTTTATTTAATGTCATTTCTTATCTAAATTAATCCATTAGTATACTTTGATAACATCTAGTCTGAATATATCAACAGTTAACTTACAGGGTGTTCCATTTTTTCTGACAAAATTTTTTTAATTTATATATTATACAGAAAAACATTCTATTATACTATATTAGATTTAATCTTAAATTCATTTATTTCAAAATAATATAAAAATTTATTCATTGTATACGTTTAGTGACTATCATTTTGTAATGAATTCTAGTCAAGTTAGTACATAAATTATTATTAATATAAGAGTGGTATCTAGTCAATGAATCCATGGACACTAACTCGAACAGTTTAAACCAGGTTTAAAAACTTATTTATTTGAAAAAAAATTAATTAATATAGAAAAAAAGTAATATAAAGTAATAATTTTTATATTTAAGTAAATATTTATAATTTTTAATATTTAATTTAATATACATTTTGGAATTTTATGTTCAATCGTGCAATTTCTTTTTACGTTTAACTTGGCAAACTTAGTAGAGTATTTGATCTCAGTTCATGGATAATAAATCTAGTCTACTAGATCTACTAAAGTAAACAGTAAAATTAGAATTACTAAATTTAAAACGTAATCAAAAATAATTTGAGGAACCTTTGACTTAATGGTTTGCGTATCAACCTAACAACAGGCTATATGATACATTGTATATGGTTTAATTACAGTAAAGTATATGTTAAAATAAGTATTATTTATAAGATAGTTTATAACATATACAATTAAGATACATTTTTATTGTAAGGATTTAGAATGTAAGATCATTATATGTGTACTCGTACTTATTTCATCATTCATCATTTTATTTACTACGATTTGCCGTGTTGTGTGCCGTGTGTGTATGTGTATGTTTATTTCAAATATTTATTTATTGAATATTTATGATAGTAATATAAATCGCGATTTATATATTTTTTGTTTATTTATTGCCGCTAGTTTTGCAAACTTTTTGTATTCAAACATTTGTGTTACCTATTGTTTCATGTACAAGTCATTAACTTAAATAACACTGTAAGTATCCAATCGTTTCACTAATCACTTATGTTTGTAACTGCTCTAAATTACACTACTACGAACTTTTCTTCAAATATTTTTTTAAAATACTTTAAATAAAATTGTAATCGTAGAAAACCATATTTTACATTTATTTAATTATCTACCTATGTCTTATACCTTATGTTCCTACATCTTATTCTATAATTAAAAAAATGCTAGAATCTAAATGATTAAACTTTTATTTATTTATTTACGTTATTTCATTTATACAAATAAGATGAAAGATAATATACAGTATATTCTATATAGAGTATACTACAATAAAGTGAGTTGGAGAGGTGTGAAAAACTAGAAAAAAAGAAAAGTAGAAAGAAAGAAAAAATTTGACTTACAGAAACTACAAATATTAGTTACTACAAATTGATTCTAAATAGTTAATAAATAGTTTTCAAATTTTCTTTCAACATAGAATTATAAATATTTATTGAATTAAAAGTATCTTTTCTTATTGGATCATAGTTACCACGTTCCTTTTCTTTGATAATGAAATCTTGAATCTTTTTATGTTCTTCTAGTAAGTTGTCCATAGTATTTTCTAATACACTAATTTGAGTGTATATGTCATTATCTTTCAAATGTTGTTTTATTTCATCACATTCAAACTTAATTGTTTTAATTTCTTCTTCACACTCTAATTGCTGATGTTTCAATTGCTCACATTCTGCTATCAGTTGTCCTTGTTTTAATGTCAATTTAGCTCTTAAACTTTCTAGATCTTCTGGAATTATTGATTTACTATCTTTATTGCCCATTCGTCCATTAAGATCAGCAAATTCCATTTGAAGTCTTTGCTCTAATGTTTCCATTTCGCTAAAAATTTGTTGCAACTTTAAATTTTCTTTTATCAATTTTTCGAAACTTTGATCATTGTTAATATATTCGTATTCATTAAAGAGTGGTAAATTATTCAAAATAGCCATTTCATCGTTTCCTATAAAATTAATATCAATGTTTAACATATTTGAAATATTTTCCATATAGTCAACTATTGTATTTTCTAGTCTATTCATTTTTTTGGATTCATCCTCCTTATTTTGCTCAAAAGAATTCATAAATTCTTCTATAATTTCTTCTCGCTTACGAAGTTCTTTGTATTTCATTTGTTTTTCAGTTTGAGTATCTTCCATATCTGTTTCCAATTGCTCTAATTTTTGTTCAATTTCCTGTATCTGTTTCTTTTTTTCAGTTAGCTGAGCTTCAGCAGCTGCAATATCCATATTATCCTGTTTAATTTTCTTCAACAGTTTTTCTCTTTCCTCTTCCGGTGAGACTCTATGTCTCTCTTCTTCTCTCAATTTATCCCTTTTTTCTTCAGTTTCTATTATTTTCAAATGCAACTTAACTGCTTCCTGTTTTAATGGTGATAACGTTATTTCTTCTTCCAAATAAGCTTGTTCTTTATACAATTCATCCAATTTTTGTTGCAACGCATTTGCTTTCTCTTGCAATTTTTCTTTTTCTTTTGATAACTCATCATATTGTTCTTTCATGTTAGAGTCCATACTGTCTATAAGCCGATCAGTCCTCCTCCTCTCGTCCTCTAACTGTTTTTCTATTTTAGTTAACTTCTGCTCTAACTTTTTTCTTTCTTCAAACATATTTTCAATTTTTACTAAATTTTGTTCATTCTTTGTAGCAAGTTCTTCAGTCTCTTCTTCAATGATTTCTTTTCCAACATCAGATGTCATTTTATCAACAATGATATTGTAATCAGCCAACTGCCCTTGCAAAGCTGTTAATTCCATAGCTAAATCTTTAGCTCTTTTGTCATAATGTATATAAGTAGCTCTTTCCTTGGTTTGATCTTCAATATCTTTCACAATAATAGCAATTTCTTGATTTAATTCTCTGATTTTCAATTGCAAAAGTCCAATATAATATCGTTTATCTAGTATTTGTCTGGAAATAGAAGATTTAAATTAGAAAATTAAATTTTATGGTCCCATTAAATTTGTTACAATAATATTGATGTTATGATTAATCTTTCAGTTGTATAAATTACGAAATGTAAAAAACATGTGTTATGAAAAATAGGAAAATTATCTTTTTACCTGGTCATTGATAATCCTCTAGCTGTTCCAGGCCTAAGACCAGCGACTCCATGTTGAGTGATTGGCCTTTCCATAATGTTTATATTCATTTGACCAGGCAAAGAAAATCCTGGATTAATAAATCCAGTACTAGTTGAACTAATTGTACTCAACCTTGAAGTACTTGTTGGTATTTGATTAAATGCAGCCAAAGATGATGGTGGTCTTGCCAATACATTTTGACCAGGTGTACCTGGTCGAGCAGTTCCAGTGACATAAAACTCTCCTGATTCATTCTTCACACCTCTGTAAAATTTGTCAAATTTACTTTGTAAAGGAATACTTGTCTGCGGTCTTTGCATCGCGGTAGTTTATTTGAAATATTTGGTCACTTTATCAGATATAGGAATGCTTTTAATCTATTAAAAAACAGCAACTTCTGTAGGTATACAAGTAACTGACATTATTTCGCTAGAGAACTGTGTAATTCTTCTATTTTGCATTTGATTGCCATAGAAACGAATCCATACAATTGAATATAAATTGGATATAAATAGAAATTAATATACTAAAATATAATCTATATATTATTGTATAAAGGAAATATACAGTGATTTTTAATGATAAAAATGAAACTATAATAATTTTAAGAAAAAAACTTTTCCAAAAAATATTTCTAATATACATGCATTTTTTTTACCAGATCAAGTAGAATAAAGAAAAAAAAAACATTATTAAATATATATAGTCGAAACGACTATTCTAACAATCATTTTTAAAAATTCATGAAAAATATATTGGATAAAATTGTTTAATTTTTCGAATAAATTACTATTTTACCAACAGTGATATTACCTACTATAGATATAAAAAGTATTCTGAAATATCATCAGATGTCATTAATAATCATTTTTTTAAATTCAAAAATTTCTCTCTACTTCTATTTCATCAGTTTTATAAATATACATGTATGTCTGTTGATCATTATATTTCATGAACATTTCATTTATCTCCATAATTCTCCAACATTTACGCGATCAATATCTTATTCTAACATCCCCGTTCTAATAAATTATTACCCCACTCGATTCAATTTTTCGCTCCATCTGTTGGCACAATTGGCCAACTAAATAAAATAAAAATTCAAATTCAAGTAGCGCCAAAGCGCAAACAGATGGCAGCAGGGTAGACGTTACTGAAGGGATTGAAAATGGCGATGATAATGCGAGGATAATGTAGGAAGTGATGATGTGAGGAAAGGTTGTGCGTTTCGTCTCAGAGTCGCTGCCTAGACTCATCAGTGGGGCTGATGGCAGCGACTCCTTACCCCAGACGCTTGTTGTTGTAACTATTCGCTAGGCTGGATNATGGTCACCCATCCTAGCGGTTCCGCACTCTGTTTGCTTAACATCGAATATCGGTTGACTTCGACGCTAGGCGCACAGCCATTTGCGGCTTGTACAAGTTGGTGTTCGAAACTCGTACTCGAGGAACTATAGGTCGCTACATTACCGCCCGGAGCAGCCAGTTGCTAAGCAACAAAAGTGACGCGGCGTGGTGGCCGAGTGGCAATGCACGTCGGTGACGGCGACGGCGACGGTGATGGCGGTAGCGACGCCGATCCCCCAAACTCGAATTAATATACCAGTAGTCCAAGAATATCTTTAGTGTACTCCGGTATAGCCAGAAACCAATCGGCGTTGCCACAGTAACCCGCGTCGTAGATACGTTCCACCCGTGGCATCGCGATTCGCCCCGTCGACGTATAAACCGATCAAACTGCCGTTCACTCGTGTTACACACATACATACACACGCACGCTGCTGCGTTCACGTTGGCATTTCTTCTTTGGCGCTTGCCTTTTTCTTTCTTTTTTTTTCTTCTCCCTCTGTTTCTTTCTTTCTCTCCTTCTTCATTTTCCTCCTCTTGCCCTTTTGCTCAATAGACCGTGGCAGTGTTCGTATGCACACGTTCGCTGGCACATGTAGCTCGGCGATAGCGCATCTAGTGCAGATCGTAGAAAGGTATCAACCGTGCTGCCCGGTAAACCGGTTTCTCACCAACCGACCAGCCAACCGGTGACCTCCTCGTGCTTAAGAATGTTTTAAACTGTGACAAGTATTTCGTGTTCACGTTCATAGAAAACCGTGTCGGCTCCGTGCGTGCGTGAACGCGGGACGAGAAAACCCCGGCGGGGTTACGACGGAGATCGGGACGCCGTTTGCACGAACACCGACATGGACGAAGAAGAAATCGACGGCGTGAAGTCGCCCATCAAGAGGCTTGGCTCCACGCGGAAGCTGCTCGTCTTTAACAGTAAGTTGTAACCATGCACTTGTCATCTATCTCGTTCTCTTTCTCTCTGTCTCTCTTTCTTTTCACTTCTTACCTTTTGTACTCGCTTCAGTTTTCCCTTTCTCTCCTTTTGCTAACAGAAAAAAATTTCTGACTGATATTTTACGTCGATCATAAATTGCGCAGTTTAACGCAATTTAAAATTGAAGCTTTTCACGATAACAACGTCGATATTTATTGCAATGTTCTATCGTAGATTTTTCCTTCGAGCATCATCGTAATTTGCCTTTTTCAACGTCTAATTTACAAAATTGCTAAATTTTGCCCCATCGTCGCGAGCAGATTCGAAATGAAGGTATAGATTTGCGCTGTTGGTTTGAAATACGCACACTCGGCGGCGTGGTTCGAGCTGAAGAGCAATTTATTTCTACGAAACTCGTTCCCAACGTCCATTGGAATGCGTGCATCTGCTCGATTGACCGGGAAGATGTAATTTCCTTCATTCATACATCGATAAAACAGCAAACGCCGACGTTTCTCTCTCGTTTTTTTTTTTTTTTTTTTTTTTTTTCCATTGTAAAAAAAGCTTTTTTTTTTTTTTTTTTTTTTTTTTCCCCAAAGCGTTTGACTTGCGGGAACGTATAAAAAAGCTTAGCGACTATATGGTCAACAGATGTTACAAAATCTCATTATAACGTGCGCTCGATGGCGCGAGGCACCTCGGCGGTGCTTTTGCTAGCTTTCGAAGAATGACGTGACGTGTCGATGTTTTTATATTCGGAATGCCATTTATTTGTGCATCTTGCTGCATGCACTGTATTTCAAAGCCTGTGATGTTCCACCACCAGAAAGAATTATCTCATCCGCTTTAATTCAACAGAAAAAATTTTGTCCTCCCAACCTATTCGGATGAAATAATCATCTGATGATACGTGAAAGCACGAATTGTTAGGGGAAAAGAAAAAAAAAAGAAAAACGATCGACGACATAACTGAAGAACATTCATTTGTTAACACGTCGAGTGCCGAGGCAGTTTTTAGCGAACTCGTTCCAAAATGGTGTACAGTTCGAGAAGTGCGTAAAACTTGTGTACTTTTTAGCTTTCAGAGAGTTTGAAATTTATTTGTTACTAACGAAAGAGGCAGAAACTTCGTTCGCGAGGTCCAAATTTGGCACACACGGGACTCGACGTGTTAACAGCGTCGCGGTAAATTACAAATTGCAAATTGCCATTATCAGCCAGAGTATTGTACAGCATAATCGAATAAAGACTATTACACCCTTTGTGGAATGCTCAGTGCATTCGAAGGTTGCGTTAGACGTACCTAGTTACCAGCATGCTTGAGTTATATGCGCTATACATGCATCTGTACGGGTGACAGGCTTCGGCTTCGCACTTCGAACAGTATAGAAATTATAATGCAATCGACATTAAGTTTCCTAAGAGAGGATTTATTATAAAATTATCCGAATGTCGTGAAAAAGATTTCTCTGAAAGAAATACCTTCTTTTGATATCGTTTATTACAATATTTAGGTTTTCATAATGTATCGTCCGGTTGTTGATTAATAATTTTTATATATAAAATTGCTTCTATGTTTCAAGTAACGAGAGAAAGGAAAACCTTTGTTTCCCTCGATCAATGAACGTGATCGTGTAACACCTATCGTCATTCGGCGGGGCAAATGAGGCGGTTGCACGTCTCTCGGTTGAAATGTTGGCGCGTTAGAAATTGCCTCGTCTGCATATTAAAAGTCGTGGGAAGCAACAGGAATAGATTTCACGGTATCCTGAAAGAACTCTCGCACGTTCGATCTCTGTCTCTTCATTGTCTGTTATCTCGTAAATGTGTACTTATTGTATATGCAATACATACAACAACGTAACAATTTATACAACCATATTGGATCGGAAATTATGTGAAATTACAACAAATGAATTAAAAGTAGAAAATATAATCTTCATATATATGTATATGAAGATTATATATATGCGTCGATAAAACAGCAGAAATTAAATAAATTTCGAAAATTATCATCCAATTATTTATTTTATTCGCTAGTATAACAAGTCAAGTTAAAGCTACGTTTACATATATATGCGTCGATAAAACAGCAGAAGTTAAATAAATTTCGAAAATTATCATTTAATTATTTATCTTATTTGCTAGTGCAACAAGTCAAGTTAAAGCTACGTTTATATATATATATATATATATATATATATATATATAAACACTAGTGTTACACTAGTGAATAAGATAAATAATTGAATGATAATTTTCGAAATTTATTGAACTTCTGCTGTTTTATCGACGCAGCATAAAACGTGTCGCTCTTTCATACAAAAAGTCCATTCGGTCGGAAGTTCCCAGAAGAACGTACATCGGATGCCCATCCCTGTTTCCGTTTACAAACTTCCAAGGTTGTTTTTATTTTATTTTAACACGCGTACTGCCCCATCCCACACCGGTTTTTTTTTCCCTCCCCCTTGGTGAACACCGCTCGCGCTAAACACTCTCAGACGCAACGTAGACGCGCGTCTATACATATTCTTTGATTCCTTCTCCCCCCGCCCCTTGGGGCGCATGCGCACATTCCAGTTGCCCTCTGTGACTCCTTCCATACGGCGGTTGTGCCCGACTGCGCCGACCGTTTCCTCTATGCATTCTGATTTTTGTGTTTGTACCCGCACGGTTGCAACATTGTCTGCTTTAATATCGATTTTAGTGACCTGCCCGCTACGCGGAGCTTGCCACCGCCGTGCCGGCAAATGCGTCGTTTGACATATTTCTGTTTATTTCCTGAATATCTCAACTACACTGTGCTATCATCTCTCTTCGGTTCTACTACGAATACAATATGTTCAATAAATATTATTAAAATGGTATAGGTAGATTCCTGAATATTTCGCTTTTATCGTTCAATGTAAATTCATTGCCTTTTCACGAATAAAGCATTCCAAGAAAGGAAAGAGATACATACTAAAATAAAGGAGTGGGAAGCATGCTCAAGTTTATTATAAAGTTTGTTAATTAATGAAAATAACAGTAATCAACAGGGGAAGCGTTCAAAGAAAAATTCTGTCGTTATTTTGCCCAATAAGTTCGTCGAACAAATCTGAATAAAAAGCGGAGGGCAAAAAGGGAACTTCCTGCTTTGTGCGACAGATGTTTTTACGGACAGATCATTTTTAGTGTCGATAGATAGAAGACGATATCTATCCCAGCCAGTGAAAGATATATTTTCTTTCACGCGGATACTATTGTGATTACACGTCCTATTTAAACATTAACTCCCTCCCCCCTCCAAAAAGAAAAAATTCTATCTTTACAAAACTATTATTATATGTTTCAAATCTGAAATCTTTGGGCATATTGTAATCTCTTTGAAATAACTTCAAGGATATTTTCGATTTGATTTTCCCGATCTATAAATACGATGAACGAAAGTTCAGTCTCTCGACTGTCGTGGAACAAGAAAATCTACACGTACACAGGATGGCGTGATTATTTGGTGCACACGTGTAGCAAGGCCATTCATTTTAGTTCAGCTCATTAGCGACCAAGTTCCACCGAGATAGAAGCGGAGGAATCACAAAGAAATATCTCCCTAGCGTTTATATCATTGTTGGATTAATTAACCAGTGGCGTGCGTAAATTTTGATCTAGATGCACGACGTTAACTATCAGGACAAGCGGCTAATTGAGATAAATCGCTCGGGAAGAGGATCGGATAATTCCTTCGTAACTACGATCACGATGCCGTGTATATAAGGCGCATTCACGTTCTGAAAAATAATTACGAGATGAAGAACGCTGCCTCACCGGGTAGATTACGAACTTGCAGGAGGAAATGTCACGAGTTGTATAGAAACACCAATAGAGTTCGCTAACGAGCCGAAGTTGGGTTGCTGGCATTTAACACTAACGATACATGTGTACACGAGAAGATGCATGCTGCAATTTAAATTGATTCCATTTCTCGGTATATATGTATATATATATATATACAAAAAAATTGCATACTTCTCCGATTAAGAATATAAAGTGGTAAAATAATAATTACTTAATCTTTTATAGAACAATTAATACGTTGTCTCTTATTTAATTTTAATAATCGTCTCTTATTTAATATGTATATCACGGACACTGTGTCGGGAAAATTAAATAAGACAACGTATTAATTAATTCTGTAAAAGATTAAGTAATTATTATTTCATCACTTTATATTCTTTATATTCTTAAGAAGTATGCAATTTTTTTTTTTTTTTTTTTTTTAATAACAAAGAACTATGATCGATATAAATATGAAAATAACGTAGAAAAATGTGTATGATATTTGTATTTGTGTTGGTCTGGGATACATAGAAATTTAAAAATTATACGAAAATCGTGCATGGACATTGTTTCACATTTACGTGGGTCAACAGATTTTTTAGATACATACGTGCACGGTAAGAAGGCCAAGTGGTATTGAATTTGCACGCTTATCTGGACGAAGGTCGGAACCCCGAACGATCTCTGTAGCTTTAAAATAGCGGTACTACGTAACGATCACATGAATAGAGGTTCAGTTTTAGAATAGAACACACACTGAATGAACTTCGTCTATACTACAACTAACTAATAATTCTCAAAATTAAAATTACCATTTAAAAGGATAGTAATGACAGTTATAATAATAATTATTATTATTATAAAACTGTAATAATAACAATTAACGCTGCCACGTGATGATCGTGAGGATTAAATTGTTGAAATAATTAAAGCTTAGTTCAGCTTGGCAAATGTGAAAATAGACATTGATGAAGCATAAATCTGTACGGTGGTGACCTTCGTGGAAATAATCAAAAATTTAAATTGAAGGAGAAACGACATTGGCCGTCGTTTATTCGCCATAAGATTAGCGGCATCAATGAAATGGCGCGGTATCCCATTGAACCACTTGGCTGAGTCAGTCAATTGCGAACGTGCTAGGTTCAAAGTGCATTTTTTATGAGTGCTTTTATGATGTTTCAGATTTAATACACGATTACGTTTGAAACAAATACAGTTTCAAACGAAGGGCCATCGCGATCAGAAATAAATTAAAAAAAAAAATATTAATTTCTAGACATTTTTTTGAAGTATAATGGTATTTTCATTCGAATCAAATTCATGTGCTTAATTTTGAGTACTATTTCGTCCCGTATTTTTATATTTATAAAATTAATAACGAAAAATAGCTTTTATTAAAAATTTGAAAATTTAATTGAACCGTATACAAAATTATGAAATGTTCATTGACTTTGATCGTATAATCTCCAACGTAATTATGTAAAGTCAAAATAAACCCGTACTGTTTTTATTCAGATTTTTAAGATATTGAGAAATGAAAAGAAAACAGTTTAGCCGGCATGTCAGATAGCCAAAGAGCGATAAGGCAAATGGGGGGGAAAAAAAAGTGCAGAACTAACAGTCGTGGCGACCTGACGATAAGTTAAGTCGATGGTAAGATGATCCCCGAGTGCCTTCGGAGTGGTCGATGAAAAGCAATTTGTTCATCGAACGCTGAGCACACGACTGTACGAGCAAACAAGATCCACTTTTATATCAAGTGCAATCCTTTCTCTCTCGATCTCTCGAATGATTTTTCGAAAGGCCAAAAAAAAACGACAGCTATTAATTTTATGAACTACAGTTCGTGTTATATTAAAATCATAAAATTTATTCAATTTAACGTTTTTAATCGTACTTTGTCTCAATCGAATGTAAATGCAAATGCAAGTGTAATGTAACGTGGAATAATACTTGGAGGTTATCGAAATCGTGAGAAAACGTAAGTATAGGTTAGTTGGAAAGCCGGGCGCGTGGCGCTGAGGTGGTGGTTACACGATTATGTTTAAATGTTTGTCGACCAAGCGAGAAGTACAATCGGACGCGTGTATCCCGTGAGATAATCGCGTTGAAAGAAGAGTAGTACGTACATACGTGGTTCTACCACGTGGTTCTACGGAGGGGGATAGAAAACCAGGACCCCAGCGAGTATGAGAAAACATACACGAGTGAGCGCGAGCAGAGCCAGAGAGTAACGTACATACACACGATGGACACGTGCACTCCGTTTGATCAGAGTCACAGTCACGGTCACGCTTCGAGGGTTGGACGAGTCTATATAGAACACCACGGTGGGAGACTGGTGTACAGAGAGTATAACCATGCAGCGAGAGAAACGAGGAGAGAAACAAAAGCGGTGGCGCGAGTAACACTCATTGATTCCCCTACCAACGCCGTGGCCACCTCTTTTGCACCGTTTCGCCCCGCTTTATTCCTATTATTTCATCTCTGTTCGTTATGTCTCTTTCCTGCCGCTGGGCCGTCTCATTAACCCTCTCCCTCTTCAATTGTTATCTCTGTCGGTCGTCCTCTGTCGGCTATCTCTGTCGTTCTCGTTACGTTCGCACGATATACACTTTCCGCCCGACGCTTCGACAACAGTATTACGCGATTCAGTTGATTTCGAAACGGTGCACACACCGGGCGAGCGCGGAATTTCTCTGATGTATAATCGGTTTTCTACAGGCTCGTCCCCCTTTTCCGTTTGCAAGTGAAACGCTTTCAACGTAGAAAGTTCCCTGGCCGATTCGGCTTTAACAACTTGGAGTGTGTTCTCATTCCTGCTTTTTTTTCTTTTTCTTTTTCTTTTTCTTTTTCTTTTTCTTTCTTTTCCCTTCTTGGGTGTTGCACCGGCCTCATGATCCGTGTATATCGTAGAATCGTGTCGTGTCTGCTACTGTGCGAATCGGTCGTTTTTGAGGACGTGCCAGTGCCTCACAACGGGGAAAGCAAAACGCGCCAAGAAATGAAATAACCGCAGCCGACTGTTCCATTTTCATTTTTCTTCGTGTGCATCCAATTTTCCACAAGTGCCCCTTTGTCCTCCATAGAAATATCGATACAAGCTCCAGGTATCTCGAATCTCCCCTTAAAAAATATAAAACCGATATTCATTGATCGTTCTAATTCGAAACTCGTCGCCGCATTTTCTCATACTTCGTGCTTCTTTTTTTTTTTCCCCCTTGCTCCTCGTTTGCAAATTCTTGATAAATTAGATACCGGCCGAAGATATAAATTTCGCACGATCGTTTTATCGTGATTAATCACGTGCACGAAAACGCGATAATCCGCAATAATAAGCTCTGCTCGGTATCGCGGAGAGCTTCGATACAAATATGCGTCAGCTGGAAAGTTTTGTTTAACAATAATAACATCTTACTGTGCAGGAAATAAATATATGTAAACTAAATTAATTTAGTCTTCTCGAGAGATGTGAAACAATCGAGTCTGAATGATTTTCCAAGATTTTCGACATTTGAAGGAAAACGTAAACCCTAAAGTTTAAATGCAAACGTAAAAAGAATACAAATTACAAAATCCAATTTCCGAGGAGTATCGTTATTTTCGAGGCTCGGCAGTGGAGATCGGTGCGCGGCTGCCTAAAGTCATCGGCCAAGGTATATACAAGAGAGAGAATCTTCTGCGCGTTCCGGAATATGCAGGGGGGTGGCGAGTCGGGAGAGCGAGAGAGAATGAGAGAGTAGTAGTAGCGTGTGTATGTGTGTCGCTGTGCGGTGTGGTGTATTGCTGCTGCTGCTGCTGCTGCTGCTGCGGCTTTTCAGTGGGAATGAGAGAGAGTGAGAGAGAGAGAATTTAACATGACGATATAGAGGAAATGAGGGGGAGAAAGAAAGGTGGGGCGAGCGAGGAGGTTAGGGCGAACGCGAGAAGAGCACCGGTACGGAACCGATGACGGAGAGGGCAACACAGAAGTGTAGAGAGAAAGAGAGAGAGAGAAAGAGAGGCAACACAGAAGTATAGAGAGAAACAAAGTGAGAACGAGCGCAAAGGGAGAGGGGTGACGTGCAAGAGAGAGAGAGAAAATCCGGTTGCCTGGCGACGAGCCATCTAGTTCGATCCCAGCCAGCCGACCAGCCACCCTCTGGGCGCAGGAGCAACGAGAGAAGGCGACTACCTTTTGCCTTCGTTTCCTTTTTCTTGTCATTCTTCACTTTTCTGAACCGCGCCGCGCCTTTGTTTCGCCGGCCTCAGCCTGCTGGTCAATCTCCGCTGCCCACCCCGTTCGATTCTTACTCGCGTTAAACGTCGCAGAATAATACACGCATCGGTATATACGAACGATGTTGGCGATGGGTTTCAGTTAGACCGGGAAGAGAGAAGTGCCACACGTTTCAAGGCCGGAACGGTCGGTCGGTTGGTCGGTCGAGTGCGTTGTGTTGCGTGCAAGAGCGCGTGTGCCGAACGGTGGAAATATCGCATTGAACGCATAATGTTTCGTTTCGTTGCGAGAGAGACGAGAGTGTTTGGAGTAGCAGACTGTCACGAGGAAAGTCAGCTTTCGATGGGAAAAAACTAAGAAACGAAAGAGGAGTGAAGTGGTCCATTGGTAGGAGGCAAAGCAAACGAAAAAAATTAGAGAGAGAGAAATAGAGACACAGTGCGTGTATGTGGATGTGTATATGCACACACATGTTCGAAGAGAGAGAAAAGAGTAGTTGAGCGACAAGAATATTTGGAAACGATGTGAAGCTGACGATGATTTCTCACTATTTCTTAAGGAATGAGGATCAGTCCAATCGTTGATTTTGTCTTTCAACCAGAGGCAACGAATACAGAATAAACGAGAAAGAATCTTCTCGTGAGATGCAAAGGCATACATGTTCATCGAGCTTTTCCATGCCGATCACGCAAATCGTGAATCGAAACGATTCTGCGATTGATGAAAAGGAACTAGAATGTTCCGGTAATGGTGGTGTATCATCGGGGAGTCATTCTGGAAGAAAGCTTGGAAATCTCATCGGAAGAGGCATAATCGTCGACGATTCATCTCTACGCGGTTGATCGGGTGAAGTTTCGCTTTGAATACTCGCCGTAACGATAACGTTAATCGGTAATCAACGAGGAAGTCGATCTCTCGCGGCAATTGGTGCGGTCTAGGGATATTTTTAAAAAGGAATAGAGGGAGAAGGTGGCCCATTGAAAGATCTTGCCAACTATAACGGATCTCGCGTCTTCCTCTACCCTGTCGGTTCCTCGTCTTTCCTTCTCATCGTTGTGTACTCTCCCTCTATCCGTCTTTCTCTCTCTTTCACCCCTATCCTCCCTCTCTCTATTTCTCTCTTGCTCGTTCATTCGTTACAGCCGATCAACACGAATCGAGACCTACGCATAGTCCAGCAACATGTTCCAGTGCATTATTCAGCAGAAGAACGGATGGATTCATCCTTATAATCCCGATACTAAGGACGTTCTTCCAGGTATGGTTCATTAGATGCAGATACATTCGCTTTTTCTTGCATCTGAAGTAGCTAGGGATGATGGAAGAAATCGTACATTAAACGGCGCAGTAAAATTCCTAGACCTTCTTCCCTCGGTGGTAATTCAATAAACCAGATTTAGTAGTTACTTAATTCAACCTAGTAAATAGTTGATAAATAGTTTATTCGTAGTTGTTTTTCTGTTTTTTGTTTCTTTTGAAGTTGAATAATCATTACACACAAAAATCCACTATCCCATTGCCCTATTCATTGTATTATAAGCATTGCTTATTTACACATTGATCTCATTTATTGAACTTTAGTTTACAACCATTTGTACGTTTTAGTTTCGACATTTTCGCGTGCATTATACCGTGTATGTTTTTTCATTCGACCACGGTTCTGCCGTGATACATTCGTACAATGTCTGCGTTATACAATATTGGAAATTCTAGATAGGCAAAGGACATTTAATGCCACTCGTATAGAGTGGTGCGAACATTCGTTTAATTGTATAGAATTTCTCTCGACATACTGCCTCGAACACGAGAAAAGTGATATAATATTGAGCTGAAAGAAATGGTCTTGAATGTTGAAGGTCACTGAATTAACATCGCCAGATAAATTATCGACAAAAGAAATTAAATTGTCAATCCACATATACGTATGTATATATTATATATATATATAATATGTATATATACATATGTATATATATTATTTAGTTCAGAATATTTATGGCTTACATTTATTATAAATTTATAAAGTCTTCATGCAATAGAAATTCTTGTTGATAAACATACAATTTCTATGTATTAGCTCACTGGATACTCGCCAAATAATGCGTTATCCTCAAATGAGCAATGGCATTGCATTTTATTTACGTTCGTCAGAATTACAAATTTCAAGTGTTCAATTAACACAAACGGGAGGAAACGAGGTTCTATGTTTCTATTTGTTTTACAGCTCTGCAGCACTAAATTGAAATCAAATGTCTTGTCATTTACTACTTCATCTTGCGACACGCTTCTGATTAATATCGCAAATAAAATGGCGGCCGATAAAGTGTACATTCAATGCTACGATATATTCTTGTCGCGTTTTACTCTGATAGGAATTGCATTGAATTTGAATTCATGTTTTTCTCTACTTTTGATGTCTATCAAGTTATTTGTAATTGAATTTAAAGGAAGGTAATTCGATTTTCCATAACAATGAAAATTGACACTCGGGATTAATTACGAAAATTACCCACAGACCTTCAAGTGTAATTAAATTGTAGAATCGCTTGATAGTCCGATTAATCACATTTCCGAAACATTCATTTCGAGCTTTGCCTCTTCTAAAAGTGATTTAGGAAGAACATTGGAGAATGATCGTGTTCTCTCATAATAATACTTAAGCCGCGGCAGCTATTTCTTTCTTTCCACTTATATATATATCTGTCTTCTCTCTAGAGTTGAATGCACCGTAAATGGCATTCTTGATTCCATATACCGGTGTACGTTTTTACGTCGATTGGATTCTCGTATTCTTCGCTACCTATCTCTTTTCCCATGTATTAAGTAGAGAATTCTTTTTTTAAAAAAGAAGAGACGAGATTTTGGAACAGTTTCGAAGCGGTTTTTTTTTTCTTTTCCCCATCTAAACAAAGAGGCATTGTATATCAGAACAGAATTACGTGTCGCGTGTTCGTACTTTGAACGAATTCGTTCCTACCATATGGTGTACGAACTTCAGCTGCTAGCTTCCGGTCGAGGTGGTCATGAAGATCCCTGTGCCGTGCATCGGAGAAAATCAAGAGGGTTCCATACGGCTTCCTTGTCGGTTGGAACTACTAATCTGCTTTCACGATTACAGGACCGCATATGTTTCCACAAAAGAAGTAATTCTTCCATTTTGCCAATACTAATGTAACATTTATTGTACAACAAGTGTTAGGGTATTCGTATTTATTTTTAACAAAATTTGTAATATATTTTTTAAAGTTTATATTTTTTAAATTTACAACATTTTCTAACAAAATTTTCAATACGTGGCTGTGCCATTTCGTTTGAGAGATTCGTTACGTCGTGTTTCGTTGTTGACAATTGACGAGTTGCGCGTTGTGAATCACACGACCAATGGGTAATTTTCGTAGCAAGACTATTTAGAGGCCATTGCGCTATCTTTCCGACCTGTTGTTGTAGCAGGCAGTTTCTAGTTTACCACGCACATATACACGGTACAATTACGGGATACGTGCACAAAAGAACCGATATGCATTGGGTTTTAGATAACGAAAAGTGAACCGAACCGACGACGCAATAGCCATTTCACGCTTCCCTTCAATTCGTGCAGGAAGGAAGTTGATAGAGAAATGTTGCGCTGCATATCAATTTATTATATGCACAGACTCGTGCGTGAAGATTTTTCTCCCTCCGTCTTGCTTGTAATATTGGCTTCGTTGTATCTTATGTTTTAGTTTCTACCTTAGTTTTTTTATTATGTTTTAGTTTCTACCTTAGTTTTTTTTTCCTTTGGTAAAACATTGGATGGCCGCTGAAGGGTTTGAAAAAATCATAACTTGTTCATTTTCAATTTTTATTTTCTTTTTTTTTTGTAAGTTATATTAATTATTATATTATTATTATTATTCTATTAATTACATTTCCAAATAAAATAATAAAAAAATTTGAAAAAAAAACGTGTTTGTAAAAGTTATTTTTGTTTTATATCATTCAGTCTTTCAGTGACCACCCTGTACGTTAACCCGAAACTTAGGCTATGTCCTAACCTCGAAGAGGTTACACGAATCTCGCTTTCATATTTCATTCGTGAAAAATCGAATTAAATTTCTCGCTGTAAGTAGAAAATAAGATGATTGGAAAAGTGAACGAACACAATTAACTCCTCGAGAGCACGATTTAAATTATCCATTTCCTTTTTGCGTTTTATTTTTCGTCCAAGTGCGCAGAAGAAAAAGAAAAAAACAGGAAAAAATTAATTCAATAAAGTCATTAACCGCTTGTACCGCATGACATGTTTGTTCGTGTGACGGTATCGCGAACGATAACGTGGTAATTGGCAACTAACTTGTTAATTGTCGCAATCCACCCCCTCCTCCCAAATCTGCTCGAGCTGAATCACGTATTTCGCCGCCGCATCGTTCCAAATATTATTTAACGCCATCTCGATATTCCCGAAATTCGACTTATCACGCGAACAAAGCTTTTCTTTCGTCGAGTCCAATAGTTGAAAAAATTTTGAATAAACTTAAAATCCATGGAAACGTATCAAATGTTAAAAATTAATTTTAATCTTTGATTCAAATTGTATCTCACGATGTGTTTACTGTACTTACTTTTCTTCATACGATTTACGTTTACTGGTTACCAAAATACCGAATCAATGTTCACTGTCATAGTTGCACACGTGTAAATCAATTATATACATATATAGGAATATGATGAATAATATAAATATGTGAGTGTAGATTTGAAAAGAATGTCTTATAAAAGTAGCAGCCATCGCTTTGACTTACAATTTACTATATTCTAGTGACTTTAAGCATCTTCAGCTAAGAGACTGTAAGAAACTGTTTGTAAACGTTTGCTTAGATTGATTCACGAAAACTAGATTAAATCAGCTAATCTGTGCGTAGAGTGTACTCGTGACACGAATAGACACTTTTTTTTTGACTTGTCTCGTTCGAAAGATGCAAGGTCTCTTGCATAGTATGAATTTCCGGTCATTAACTTCCACTCGTGCATCGGTGTCCGATTAATTATAATTTTTTTTCTATTAAATTCTACATTTCTTTCTATTACCATCTGACAATTTTTAATCAGCCATAAATCGCTTCTTAAATATTCATTCAACAATATATATCGTTAATACGATAGCGAAGCTGTTCGTAATTTTTTATCTAAAAAATGTCGAAATTTTCCAAGCTACAGAAATAGACCAGATAACATTGAACATACCGTTTTTTTTTTTTTTTTTTTTTTGTTTCCATCGGATCACCTTTTGAGAGTCGTCGCATTATTCAATAGCAGTTTGAGATCACGTCGTGTATCGTTGGCTTAATGGCGTTCGCGCAAGTGTAAACGCACACGGGTAAACGAAGTTAAGACGGATGTGTGCACGTACACGATGGCCGCATAAACGTGGGTAATATACACAGTAGGCGTGCAAGAGAGGAAGGCGCGTGCGTGTAGGACTCGCTGGTAATTGTGGTTAATTTAACGACAGTCAAAGCAACGACTGCCTGTCCTTACTGGTCAGTTCACGCGGCCAAGTCCCTCTCGACTGGTCGGCCAGTGTGCAATACTCTCTCGCGGTCATCCGGAACCGCACGCCGCCGTTATTTGCCATCGAGATTCGCCCTTAGTTCCTTGCCTCGATTCGTCGAAGAATCGCGAGAGACCAGTCCATTGATATCGTTAAGCAAACTCGCGAAACTGTACGAATTTTAACGAACCGACGAGAACTCTCTGTCTCGGTCGACATAGTAATAACGCTAGTTATCGGCCGGAAACGATCTCGATCGTGTTTCGGCTGGTTTTCTTCTCTCGTGAATTTCGCTGTCGCTCAGTGTGCTTCCGCCTCGTTCTCTTTAACGTAAGCAGGAAAAGAAAAGAGAAGAGTACAGTCGACATTTGCCTGGCCGAATAAAGACGAAACGTTGGCCTGCGGTCGAGGCACGTGTGTATTACCCTGTCGCAGGATATCCGGCGGACTTTTGTGATTCGTGAGCAGAGAGAAAGGACACTTACACCGCGTTCTACGCTCATTGCGATCTATAGCGTGTGTAAACTCCCTCGAAGTATGTAACTACACGTTATTTGGTGCGAGCACAAGTGTGTACGTAAGTTCGGTAGTCGAAACAAGGTCGTTTTACGCGTCGAATGAGAATGTGCGACTGTTTGATGTATACAGTGGTTCATCGATACACTTTGTTGTGACCGTGTTGAAGCTTTACGAGTTTACATCATCCGAATGGTGTTTCACCGTTAGAT